TGTGGGGTGATCGTGTGTGGGGCGGTCGGCGTGTGGGGTGATCAGTGTGTGGGGCGGTCGGCGTGTGGGGTGATCGTGTGTGGGGCAGTCGGTGTGTGGTGTGACTTGGGAACAGCTAGCCCCAGAACTCAGATCTGGAATGGGGTGCAGTCAGTGCCCTTAAGCTCAGTTTTTTTAAAAAAAAACCCACGTGTTCTGAGAACTTTCTGTGTGTCTGGAGTCAAAGTCACAGAAGGCAGGGAACACACAGGCACTGCTGCAGGGGTGCCGACAAGTGCTCACTGCTTTACTCGGGGGAAAAGCATCACTGGGAACCCCCACCAGGGGGGCGCAGGTGGGACACCGCTTACCGGAGAGCAGGAAGGCCCCCCTCTGCAGAGCCGCCAGGCTGTCTGTCAACAGGTTCTTCCACGTCAAGCCCCTGGCCGCCAGGTAATTCTGCGATGGGGAGAAAAGGACACAAAGCAGACGTGTGCGTTCAGAGAGGCACCAAGAGGAGGCAAACACGGTCACAGGGACCCGGAGGAGGAGGTGGTGCAAAGGCACAGCCACCCTGACGCCAATGCTGCTGTCCCCCGAGCGGGTGGCCAGGCTCTTCGCAAGGGGCCTCCCGCTGCCAGATGCCATCTTGGCTTACAAACAGGAAAACTACGGCTTATCTTGATCCCCAGTAAGTTTATGGACTGAAAAACGAAGAACCTCAAGCACTTACAACTCTCAAGTGCTTACATCAGATGGTCAGGAACAACAGGATTTAAACCACAAACTATCTACCAGATAAGCCCTCTGAGAGCAATTTTTGAAGCCTCTGGCAAAGTCTGAGGATAAATATGCACTTTGTTTCACGTAGCATTTGAAGATAAGAAAGGAAGTTAGCTTCCGAAACCTCGGCTACAAAAGAGACTGCCCGGGCTCTTGTCTGAGACGCCACCGCCGGGCCTCCCAATGGAAGCCTGGCCCTTCAGCCCTGGAGAGAGGAGGTGCACGAAACACACTAAGGAGTCTCGGAGCTGCACTGACTTCTGGAAACACAGGAAGGAATGGCCGAAAAGGAAGGCAGCTGAAGGGAGGCCTGGTTGCTGCCCCTCCGACCCCCTCTGTGAGAAGCAAGGCAGGAGCCGGCGCCGCAGGAACCAGCTCCTGCAGATTCGTGCCTGATGAGCACAAAGGAAATACCATGTTGGAGAACGGGAGACCAGAGACATGCCGACGGGTCAGAGAACTAAGTGGAGGCACCAGTCAGACAATGCCGACAGCCCTCGAGTAGTGAGTCGTGCGAGCGACTGAGAGGCCCCCGCGCGTCCCCCTGGTGCCCACGTGGGGTCTGACCCGCCGCACCTTCAGGATGTCCGACTCGAAGCTGTTGTTGTTCAGTACACCGTCCAGACACTGGTCCCCAAGGCTGAGCTCTGTGGACATACAGGCGGCCATGTTACCACCTAGTAAGGACATTTTATGGAAGTGTTGCTTGCCTGGCAGTTACGATAACCACATTCCTTCCCACTATAGATTCCAGAAGGAGTAAAGCTCTGTGGTGAGATACAACCTTGAACAGAACACGTGACCCGAAGTGCCCAGCCTGGGCCTGTGCCACGGGAAGCCGCGGCAGGCAATGCTGCGGTGCTGGCGTGCTGTGCGCAAAACTAAACCCTCCCGCCGTGAATTCAGCGTTCCCGACTGTCACGTTACTGCCTAGTTCTGAGCTAACACAAGTCTGACACTTCTAAAATGGCAAACCAGTGCGATTCAGCAGGAAAAGGCAGTTAATTACGTAGTGACTAACAAGGGCTGTCCCGCTTCCTCACGGTGTTGGCCAGGGCACCACCAATCTCACAGGAGAAAGAACACAAAGAAGACAAACTTGGGCAGAAGGCAGCCTTACCACAGAGCGGGGCCAGGCAGCCGAAGCAGCCGGGCCGGGTGCAGCCCCAGTACAGGTGGCAGAAGGGCTGCAGGCACGCCGCACCTGGGGACAGAGGACAGCGGTCAGGTGGGTTTCTGCAGAACGTGCAACAAAGCCAACCTCCCAGCCAATGCACAAAGCATGCCTGCTCTACATGATGAGGACTTGGGGCATTTGAAGCTGGCCAGACCCCAGTACCTCCTACATCGCACCCATGCTCATCCAAGAAGTGTGCTAAAACCCAAGAAGAGGACCCCAGCTCTCCTGTCCATCCCAAGCAAGGCTGCTGAGCAGTTTCCTTCTGGATCCCGCTATGCAAACAGCTGTGATCACGCCGCACACCCACATCCTGTGTCCTGCTTTCCCCCACTTGCCATGAATATGCTTTTATGCTATTACCTCACCTCTGCGGATGTTACTTCTGAATGTTTTGTATTCTACAGAAGGTAATCCCACAGAATGTGAAACTACTTAAACCCTAGTTAAAATTCTCACACAGTTCAACACTAAAGTCTTCTAAAAATCTGTAATCGTTTGAGAAACGTCTCTGTGTAAGAACGACTTCCACAGAATTAGGGGCAATGCTGGTGTTGGGCCAGATTTTAAAGTTCTGAGCTGAGCTACTGTCCACTGGCCAGCTACTGAGGGCCAGGCACTGGGTGGGCTGCTCTGAAGCTTCTCTCATTTGACCCCTACCAACATGTACTGCAAAGTAACCACTAGTTATGGGGAGTAGTGACCCCACTTTCCAGACAAGGAAATGAAAGCCGAGAGAGGCAAGGGCCCTGCAAAGATCATATGAGCACTTCTGAGTCCTGGGCCAGAGCCCAGCTGGCCACGCTGGCTCCCACATCCACCCTGTGCTGTCACCTCAGGGGTGCTAGGAGTTTCAGTGGACAGAGAGCTGCCTTTCCAGCAGTAACCTGTCTTGTCTCCTCTGAACTTCCACACCACCTTCTGCATAACTCTAATACACAACTGTGTTGCAATCACGTGGCTCGACATGTTTCACCCACTGACCCCTTCAAGGAAAGAAACTGAGTCTTAATTATTTTTGTGTCCTCAGCATCTAAAGAAGTGCTTTCTACACGGTAGGAGTCAACTAAATGAATGCAAAATAAGCATATCAGCCAATTTTATGCTTCTCTTCACGTAATAGAGATGCCGCAATGCATAAAAAACTCTTACATGGAGAAAGACTGACAGCTTTCCCCTCGAAATCAGGAACAAGACAAGGGTGCCTACTCTCACCACTTCTATTCAGTATCCTATCAGAAGTCCTGGCCAGAGCAATAAGAGAAAGAAAAGGCATCCAGATTGGAAAAGAAGTAAAATTATCTTTATTCATGGATGATATGATCCTATATATAAAAAATCCCAAAGAATACACAAGGAAAATTCTAGAGCTCGTAGAGGAATTTAGCAAAGCTGCAGGGTACAAGGTCAACAAATGAAAATCAGTTGAGTTTTCTATATACCAGCAATGAGAAATCTGAAACAGAAATTAGGGAAACAATTCCATTCACAATAGCATCTAAGAGAATCAAATACCCAGGAATAAATCTAACCAGGGACGTGAATGACTTATACAACGAAAGGAATAAAACACTGCTGAAAGAGTAAAGAAGACTTAAATAAATGGAAAGATGTTCCACGTTCATGGACTGGAAGACTTAACATTGTTAAGATGTCAATACTACCCAAAGCAATCTATAGATTCAATGCAATCCCAATCAAAATTCCAACAGCCGTCTTTACAGAAATAGAAAAACAATCTTGAAAGAGAAGGACAAAGTAGGAGGACTCACTTTTCTTAATTTTCAAACCTACTGCACAGCTACAGTAACCCAATCAGCCTGGTGCTGGTATAACAATGGACACGAAAACTAACGGAATAGAACTGAGAGTCCAGAAATAAACCCACACATTGATGGCTGATTTTTGACAAGGGTGCTAAGTCCATTTGATGGGGAAAGAAGAGTCTTTTAAATGGTGCTGGGAAAACTGGATTTCCACACCAGAAAAATGAAGCAGTATCCATGCCTCACACAATACACAAAAGCAAATTCAAAGTGGATTAAGGACCTAAATGTGCAAACTAAAACCATAAAACTTTTAGAAGAACAAGCAGGGGCAACGCTGTCAGGCCTAGCTTTCAACAATAGATTATCTGATATAATCACAAAAGCGCAAACAGCAAAAGACAAGATAAACAGGACCTCATAAAAATTAAAAACTTTTATTCACCAAAAGACTTAACCAAAAAAGTGAAAAGACAAGCTACCCAGTGGGACAATATCTTCGGAAACCATATATCCGACAAGAATCTAATAACGAAAATATATACAAAACTTTGACAACAACAAAAAGACAAATAACCCAGTCATAAAATAGGCAAAGGATATGAACAGACATTTCACCAACGAGGACACTCAAATAGTCACCCTTCACCAGACACATGAAAAGATGCTCAGCATTATTAGCCATCAGAGATGCAAATCAAAACATGAGATACCATTTCACTCCCATCAGGAGTGTTGGCAAGGATGTGGGAAAATTGGAACCCTTATCCATTGTCAGTGGGAATGCAAAATGGTACAGCCATTGCGGAAAATTTCAATCAAAGGTTCCTTAGAAGAATCTGATCAAAACGGGGAAAACGCAGAACAGAATTTCAAATTTCCATGGACTCCAGACTTTCTAGGGCCATGGAGGCTGATTGAACCCCTGAAACTATCGCCCAGAGATAATTTTTAAACCTTAAACCAAAAATATCCCCTAAAGTCTTCTTAAAATCAAACAATAGTTTAGCTAAACTAGTAAAAAAAGGTCTGCCTTGAGCATTATGCTCTTTTAAGAACTATCTGTATGGGATCAAATTGACAACAGCAACTCAAAAGATTAGATAGGAACCTTAGGGGGCAGTGAGTTTATGTTAATGAGGGAGGAACAACTCAGAAAAGGAGGGTGAGAATGGCTACACAACTTGAAGAATGTAATCAATGTCACTAAATTATACATGGAGAAGCTGCTGAATTGGTGGCTGTTTTGCTGTGTATATTCTCAACCACAAAATAAATAAAATTTAGGGGAAAAAAAAACGCTTACAAACCAGTAAGAAAAACCTTCCATGTTAAAAAAGAGCAAGGGATTTGAGCAGACATTTCAACAAGGAATAAACTCAAATGTCCATTAAATGAATGAAAAGATCAATTTGATAGTGATCAAAGAACTACAAATGAGGACAAGGATCCACGTTTCAGCTCTTATATCTAAAGTGACACATTATAATCCTGCGAGTACGGTCCCCAGGCACCCTTTTAACTCAGTACTGAAGTAACTCCTGAGGTTCACCCTTCAGCCAAAGATTAAACAGGCCCATAAAACAAACAATAATACATGTAGCTCAACCATGAATACAAGACTAATGGGCACATCAGCCCAGGGGCAAGGACAAGAAGGCAGGAGGGGACAGGAAAGCTGGGCAAATGGAAATGGGGAATTTGAGACCGTGAAGGGGGAGAGTGTTGACATGTCAAGGGGTTGGCAACCAATGTCACAAAACAATGTGGATATTAATTGTTTAATGAGAAACTAATCCGCTCTGTACACTTCACCTAAAGGGCAACAAATAAATAGACGCATTCCAAAGCTGAAGCAACTCAGGCCTGTGGCACTGGCGCCAGGAACGAGCTCAGATAGAGCCTGCAGAAGGAGAAAACCGCCCCTGTGGAAACTCTCAGCTGGGGAGGAGGATGGCTTCTGCCCTGCCGCTGTGTGGGGACACGCACATTAACGCCCACAGGCCCTGAGATGTGGGGTGAGTAGAGGGCCCAGTGTGTCTGAGGCTGCAGATGGGGCACTCACACTGCTGTGGGGCGACGCGGGGGTCCTGCTCGCGCTCTGCTCTCCGGTCCGGCATGGGCTGGAAGCAGCAGGTGCAGACGGCGTGACTCCCCTGGGCTGGGCACACGTAGTCCTGGGCTGCTGCGGCACCAGCATCCAGAAAGACCGTGGACAAAAAACACATGTTACGAGAGAAAAATCTCAGGGGAAGGTATGAAAAAAACACAAACATAGATCCCTTGTCCTAAGCAGCCACATGGTGGTCCATCGCTTAAACTAAGTGTCAACAGACTGAAAAATAACCAAAAACTGTGTTTTGGTTCAGTAGTTTTAGCAAGATTTCAAAGGTCAGACGAAGGTTTTCTACTATTTCCTATAAAGGGAAGGGCTTGGTCCATAAACCGTATTATAAAACAATAAAGCAGGTTACATATTTACTTCTGCTCAAGAGAGAGAAAACTGTACTCTTCAGATAAACGAAAGGCCAGGCACTGCTGGAAAACTGTGGTCTGTGCAGCATCAGGGACTCTGCGTGCATCCGACCAAGTTCACAAGTTGACACAGTTGTTTGGTTTCTTAGCCCCAAGCGGACTGTGAAAAGTAAGGGCTGTGCAACGTGGTGGCCTTCCCAGGGCACAGGGAGGATGGCAGGGAGTATAAGACTGCAGGAGCCCAGCCACCACCAGCGGTCACCCCAGCCAGCTCACGTCACAGTGACCAAGTTAGGTTATGCTGAGCCTCTTTTACATGAGAGGACACAGAAAAGCAGACACTGATGGAGAAAGGTCCGTGGAGAAGTAACTGCCAGCGCAAGAGGAGGGTGGTTCACGGGTGCCACCTGAGGCCCCACTCTCGGTGGGGGGTGCCGGCATGAGCATCGCACCTGCTGGCTCACCTGTTGGGAGACTAGCAGACGTGGACGGGGCATCCCCCAGGGCCTGTGGGGCCCCCTGCTCACTCTCGGGCCCCGGGCAGGGGAGTGGCTGTGCCTGCCTCCTGGATTCTGGGCACTGTCTGCACACGATGTACGGCTGACTGCAAGACAAGCACAGCAGCAAACGTGACGTCTACATAGGCAGCGGGGTGGGGCCTGTGCTCACCGGCATGTGTCGGCTGGGGGCCAGATCCCTGGACACAGACAAGACTCTCTGGGTCTCTCGGAGAAGAAGACCAGACCTGGGGCCTTTCTAGCAATCCATTAAGCTAAGCCCATCTCTGGCTTCTCTGCACCTGGTGTTCGCCGGACCTTGCCCCCTTCCCTCTTCAGGTGTATTCTTGCTTAGTTCTTGGCACCTCGCGGGCCCTACTGCTGGCCTGCCGCCCAGCATGTCTCGGGTGGTGGAATGGCCTCCCTCTTCCTGCCATCTGAAGAGCTTCCCCAGACCACGGAGGAGTTGGCGGGGAGAGCTGTGCCCACTCACACACCAACAGCCCCCTGCCCCTGCTCAGGTCCCCGCTCCTGGATCATTTCCAGGGCCTCAGCCCTCACAGCCACACCTGAGACCTGAGACTTTGCTTCAAGGCTCCGTTAACAAGCATGACACACAGAACTCAGCACGGCCAGCCCCAGCCCCAGGTGTGTCTGCCCATTCCCAGGCAGGAAAGTGCTCTCGCAGTTTTGAGGCTCAGATGGAGCCCTGCAGGTTCACACAAGCAGCCCCAGTCCGTCCAGGACACCGGAGCATAATGCCTGCACTAAGGTGAGGCATCAGATACTCTGTTACCTTGTGGGTAACGCCAATGGCCCGGCAGAAGACCAACACCGCTTGGCATCACTGCCCATTACCACCCTAAATCGCTTGTCTTTACTGCACTTCAATTGTACTCCCAAGGAACAAAGTAAAACATAAAAGAAATAACCCACGGAAGTATCACAAGAAAATATAGGAGACTCTTTCTCTTGTGTCTGCTAGAGAAGGCCTTTCTGAGCCCAACACCAACGGCAGCAACAATGAGGGGAAACGGACAAGATGTGACTAAATACAAACTAAAAACGGATGGCTGGCTCAGTAACAACAACAGAACTGTGAATTAAAACGAGACATCTTTTTCTCCTACTAGGCTGGCAAAGACTGAAGAGTGCCCGGATTCCATGTTGGTAGGATTATTCATTGCTCACAGGATGGATCAGTGCTGCCTGCCTGAGGGGCAGTGTGGCCACAAACAAAGTCTGACCCCGTGTCCCCTGTCACCTCCATGACCTACCATGTCATGCCCACACATTTACCTTCATGAAAAACTGGACATGCGCACAGTTACGAATGCAAAGACAGGCATTGCTGCTGAACTAAAAAAACTACAAATATCCAACAGCAGAGTATTAGTTACAGTAGCCACGCCTACTCAAATTACGAACTCCTATAGGATCACCGGAAAAGATGATGTAGACAGATTGTTTCCACCGTACGTGTGTGTGCACACAGCCAGCCAGATGGGTAACCAACATGTCAGCACTGGCCATCTCTGGGCAGCTGGCAGAACCGAAGTCCTTCTTGGCTTCTTCTGTTTGCTTACCATTACTTAGTAAATTTTGTAAAAAGAAACAGAAATAATAAAAGTTTTGGATCTTTCTAAATATCGTGGCCTTGACCCAAAATTCAGACCCCGGACTTCTTGGTTAGGAAACCTCGACAAGTCGAGCAAATAAAATAAGCTCTACCAACCCACCAAACAACTAACCAGTTGCCGTTGAGTTGACTCCGACTCATGGCAACCCCATGTGTGTTAGAGTAGAACTGTCCTCCATAGGGCTTTCAATGGATGGTTTTCCAGATACAGATTGCCAGACCTTTTCTTCCAAGGTGCCTCTGGGTGGACCTAAACCTCCAACCTTTTGGTTAGCAGCCGAGCACATTCACCATTTGCACCACCGAGGGTCTCCAAACTACGGTCCACTAGGATTTTATCTTCTTAGCCAGTAACTCTGCCTGTTCTGCAATAATACCCTACCAAAGGACAGTCACTTTATAAAGGACTTTACGGTCACTAGATGGATCTGTGTAGGTGGGAAGAGATCACGTATGAAATCACCACCTTTGACCACAATGAGCAGTCTAAGGGAATAACAAGACATCGGGTGGCGATGGCAATGAAGACGAGAGGGGGTGCCAGTACCTACAATGCCTGCCTGAAGGCGTGCAGTGCGCTGACGCTGTTCTGAGCCCCAGTTCCCGGGCCGCACCACACTGCCACAGGCAGGAAACGGCAGTACCCGTCACTTGCTAGACAGGACGACTAAGGCACCGGCTGAAGCCCACCTCTGCCCACTCCCGGCACCAACGCTCACCAGGCTACCGAGTACACCTCCTCCCCGTACCCCCTCGTGCTGTAAAGGTATCACCTGATGTCCGAGGATTCACTGTCAACGTCTGACAGCTCCAGCAGGTCCTCCGAGCTGCCCTCCTCATCCGAGAACGACCTCCTGACCTTGGGCTGCAGCATGTCCTGAGTTATCTTGTTCCTGGCATCCATGCTCCGCAGGTCTTCCTCGGTGCGGCCCTTGTCTGGAATTCAGAGGAGCAGCCTCAGGCAGAGAATGCACGGCCACACAGAGGGCAGCCCCATGGACCCGGCGGACCGGCTTGCCTGGGTGCTGGGTGAGGTAGGCCTCCACCAGGTTGTTGAGGATGTGGTTCTTGCAGATCCGCTCCACCAGGCAGCGGCAGGTGGGGCACAGGGACGAGCGCTCCATCCAGCCCGAGTAGCAGGCAGCGCAGAAGGTGTGCATGCAGGGCTGCAGGCTGAAAGCACAAGAGGGGTGGTCTGCGGTCCTCTGAGCAGTCGGGGGGTCTGCAGCCCTCTGAGCAGTGGGGGGTCTGCAGTCCTCTAGGTAGTGGGGGGGGGGTCTGCGGTCCTCTGGGCAGTGGAGGGGAGGTCTGCAGTCCTCTGAGCAGTGGGGTGGGGGTGTCTGCAGTCCTATGGGCAATGCGGGGGGTCTGTAGTCCTCTAGGCAGTGGGGGGGGGTGTTCTGCAGTCCTCTGGGCAGTGGGGGGGGGTCTGCGGTCCTCTAGGCAGTGGTGGGGGGTCCGCAGTCCTCTGAGCAGTGGGGAGGGCACTGGGACTCACAGGTCTATGCTGGGACTGTTACACTAAATTCCACAGATGAAAGGACATCATGGGTAGAATAGGGTGCCTTCTAAGCACCAGAGACAGTATGGGGACCCCGGGGCTTGTGCTGCCTTTTCCCTGGAGGAGGAGCTGGCCTTGCTCAGGATGAGGCTGGTTACAAAACAGACAAACAAAACCCTGGAGCTCTGGCTCTGCATGGCCTGCAATCACGTTGGCCGTGTGGCCGCACACCCCAGTGGCATCTCCACCTTGCCTCCGAGGGTGCGGCCCCTCCTACATGTGGCACCAGCCGTGGGGCCAAAAATGCTGCTGTACCCAGCTGCTTTGAGAAAGTGTCCCCACAAGAAAATGCATATTCAACCTAAAGTATGTCAGCTCCTTCCTGGTCAATTAAAAGGAACTAGGTAGGGTCCATGTGAGTCCAGGAGAGGTGGAAGAGGAGATGGCAGCTTCAGGAACAGACAGAGAAACTAAGAAACTGCAGAAAAGGCCTTTGTTTAAACTGAAATTCTGACAGGCCATCACTCCTACATTCCCACACAAGGGGGAAGGCGAAGCTTTTCCTAAGCTATTACTCCTGGGATCCTCAATCTATGCTAAGAGTTTCTTTAACTAGGGAATATTTAAGATGCTATAAATGGTAATGTCAGCAGGTTCGATCCCAAACACACCTGAAGGCTCGTGTCGTCCTCGTCTTCCCCTTGCCCACACCTGCAGCCATCTGCCCCACATGGGGGGTGCCCTGTGCCATTCTCAGCCAGGCAGATGCATGTCAGCCACGTGAGGACCCTGGCATCCCCTCTCATCATACCTCACGCAGTCATGTAGCAGGTCCTGACAGATGATGCAGGTGAGTGTCTCCTCCATCCTGTCTGGTTTCACAGCTGCAGCTCGGCTGTCCTCGCGGCCAGCCGGGGCATCCTGACACAGGTCTGCGACGAGCAGTCGAGGGCTCAGACGGGGCTCCCCGTCTGTGAGAGGACAGGGCGGGATTAGTCACAACTGGGGAGGAAATAAGCGCTTCGTCTTCTTGTTTTATGAACATCTCAGCCTGCTGACCCAGAAAAATCTCAGGCGGAAGCAAGAAAAAAAAGCCTTACCACAACACATAGATTAAGAAGGCTCAAAATACAAGTGTCGTATTCCAAATTGTTTCAGTTTTGTTTTAGAGCAATAGTTAATGTCATAAAAAAGATGTTCAGAATATAACATGATGATTAGGTGATACAGACCAACTGTCAAGCAATGTGTGTGCATAATATCACATTTGTTTAAGCAAACAAAACAGAGGACTCAGGTACACAGGAAAAGTTGGAAGACACACTCGGAGATGGTCAGCGTGAGTCGTTAAAAAGTGCTGCTTTCTTGTTACTTTCTTTTTTTCTATAATATCATGTATTACTACCAACAAATTATTCTTCATTTTTAATTAAAAAAAAAAACTTGCGCACACACTTTAAAAGTCAAACATTTAACAGAAAACAGGAGCAGCAGTCCCCAGCCAGCCTTTCCGCATATCTGCGTCCCTCCTTGGAGAAAATTACTTTCGTGTCTTTCTATTCTTTCTTCTGGCATTTACCTCTGTGTTTCTGAGTTACAATTTATCGATTTTAGACACCATCTAATGATCTCTACTCACATAGAGGGAGATTTTGCCCCTACAGCTCCTCTTTCCAGTATTGTTCTAACCTTACTGCTGCTCAGTATATTCTGTAGGGCCACTAGGAGTTGGAGTCAACTCGACAGCAACAGGTTTATGTGGTATTTATGTCACTGAGCTGATATAAGCGTTGTTCGCCGCTGAGCCAAGTAGTATACTATAATTAAGTTTTCTTCTTATACAATTGTTCGTTTTTGCTGGAATTAAAAATTGCCTCATTTTTATACTTGCTTTTTTTTTTTAACGTGCTTATCACTAATTCTTTCCACATCCTCCCCAAGACCATCGATTCAGTTTTCCACTCAAACATATCTGACAGCCCACCATCCCTTTCCCGGCGGCCACCCTCAGGAGCTTCCCACCACGCTGCTTCAGCCTGGCTGGCTGGTCTCCAGCCTAATGCACAGCTATTGTTCTACAAGTGCATTCCAAGTACTTCTTACAATATTTTCAACTTAAGTTTTCAAAGCGTAGATTTTTCTTTAAATCTCTCTAATACAAAGACTCAAGTTACCACTTAAGTATAGTTTATAAAAATCAGTTGTCACATCTGGCAGAGGGCGTTTTAGCAGAACAGCACAGTGTCCAGACCAACAGCACGTACTACGAGGAAAGGTAAGGACACACAGCTCTGCCTGGTAGTGCAAATAGGAGAAAGGGCCCAAATTTTCACTCAGAAACGCTGAGCGATTTCAAGTGTCAGCCTAAGGCAGCATCCACCTGCTCGTGCAGAAAGTGAGCCACCCCAGGGCAGCGTGGGCATGACCAGTCTGCAGAGCCAACGCTCCTGGCGCTCATGGGGTTTAAGGGCCCGCAGCATTGCCAATTCTTACCGCCTCTCATCTTCTTTTTTGTGGGCTCCCAGTCCTCCCAACCCTGGGGCTCTGACAAACACAACGGCCTGCCCTCTGTGTCGGGGAGCACAGACACGGAGCTGGAGGCTTCCTCATCTGCCACAGTGGGACCACAACCCTGTGATGGGGGGACTGCACCTCCAGGCCCTGTGGAGAGGAAATGAGAGGTTCTGTCCATTTAGTCACAGTAAAGCACAATAATCTGAGGCCAAATCAGTTTACACACATGAAAGTAACCCAAGATAGCATATCTTAAGGGTGTATTTGGCCCGTTCCACCTTGATAGTTTACATTTTCTTTCAGTCATGGATCTGAGATAATGAGGTTAAAAGAGAGGTAATTCAAATGAGTTTTGGCTTAAAAGTTTCTCAGAAGACCTCGTGTCACTGGTTTTGTCTAAGCTGCTCCTCTCATCTCCAGAAGTAGTGGGTGAGGGCCTGTGCAGTGTTCGTTGTCCACAGCCTTGTTTGCAACTAAGCAGCCCTGAGAACAAAGGCCTTTAATGTGCATTGTGGAAAAGTCACCACACATCAGAATGTTGTTCTGCAGTGGGTCGAGCTGGCACGGGTCTGGGAAGAGAGTGCAGTACAGTGGTTGGAGCATTCTGCTGCTGAGGACTCCAGCTGGGCAAAGGGGCACTCGGACAAGGAAGGTGGCAGATGCTACAAAGCCTGAAGGAGAATCAAAAGTAGGACAATGAGACTGCCTGTGTTCCAAAAGAAGCCACAGTGCTAGGAAGTTAAAGAAGAAGCAACAAAAATGGAAACGGGTTCAAGTAACGTGGGAGGACTTCCAGTCCCTAGAACACACACTGAGTCCCTGCACTGCTGCTGTTCCTGCACAAAATCCCACCAAAATAACAGCTGAAGAGGCATAAAAATAAAGAATATGCCACAGTAGAGCAGCCAGGTTGGCCAATGAGATGGAAGGAGACGTCTCCTGGGAAAGATGACCCAACAGAGCCATTTCAAAATGTCCTGCTTCACCGAGTCTCCCACTGCTTCCTGTCTTGAATGTTGCTGTGGTGCTCTGAACAGTGGCAGCCACCTTGTAACCACAAGATGAAACGCACGAGGACAGAAAGGCAATCTGCCGAAGCAGTGAGGGATGGACAGAGTACTGGCGACCATCACAGACAGCTGTCCTGGCTATCTCGCAGACTCCTCATCATGGTATCAGATCTCTGTTATTTGTATCCACACACATCCTAACTGAGATTTAAGAGACTCTTAGATTAAAAAAAAAAACAACTTCAGACTACTATACAATCTAAGAACAGGAGAACCCAGAATTCTAGGAATAAAATTACCCCAAACCAGGTGGAGTACGTGATAAAATGTCACTGAAGAACATGAAACAGCTTAATAAGCAGGGAGAAATACCATTGTCCGGGGTTTTGTAAAAATGTCAATTCTTCTTAAATCAAAATCTCAGAAACACTGTGTTTTATACTTCAAACGCTACTTCTAAAGAAATGTCTGTGCTGTAAGGAGTCTATGTAAAATTGACCATGGAGGAAAGAAAATGTTCCTGCTATAGGGACAGTCTACATGAAGCTGACCATGGAAGAAGGAGAATGTCCCTGCTATAGGACAGTCTACAGGAAGCTGACCGTGGAAGAAAGGAAACATTCCTGCAGTAAGGACAGTCTACGGGAAGCTGACCATGGAGGAAGGAGAACGTCCCTGCTGTAGGACAGTCTACGGGAAGCTGACCGTGGAGGAAGGAGAACGTCCCTGCTGTAGGAC